GCTCCCTCCCACCTGCAAAAGCAGCACACGACACGACACCGCTCTGATTCACCCTGCACTGGTGCCCCACTGGAGTTCGGCACAAGTTCTTTCGGACCTCCACTTGTTTGACTCCCATGCTCCCCTCCGTTTTGGCCTCACCAATTTCAAATGCCGCCCCTGTCGGCACGTTTGGAATCTTCCCCGTCCTTGGGCTGAACTGGGCCCGGACTCAGCGATGTTTGCCAAGGCATTCGCACCAAAAGCACCGGGCCTAAAGCGGCAGGCGTTGCAATGTGGTTCTGTTGGTGACATTAGCGCCGCCTTAATCTGTTTCTCCCAAGCAGCGGAGGATGCCGTGGCCAGCGCATTGGCCAGCCAGCATGAGACTGATCCGGTGAAGATGCCTCACAGCACTCTGCCCAAGGCCTACCGTGGACGTTGTCGCCACCGGGAACTGATCAAGCGGGAAGTTCCCTCTCTGGTTCGACCGGCGTGGCAAGGGGCCTATACACCGGACGAGGAATGCACGTCAGTGCTCTGCCATCTCAGGGTCAAACAGGTTCGACGGGTTCAGACTTTGTTGTGCGGCCTCAGGAAGCTGAACGCTTGTGATCCTCTTACTTCGGGCCCCCTTCGCATACAGCTGGAGACCGAGTGGCGCGCCGTGCAGCGGGCTAAGGGGTACCCACCGTTCTTCCAGGATTGGGTTTTAAGGGTAGCCCATTTCTGCCTGTTCCCCACGTGCCTTCCCCACTGGGATTGGTTGAACGACCTCTACCAATACCTCAGGTTTGATGCAGACAGTCTGGCCCGGCAGCAGGCCAAGGCGCGTCGTCAGAAATTCCGGTATCAGGTTCACATTGACGCCAAGGAAGGCGCCTCCAGGGAAGGCTTCCGGGCCATGCGGGCGCCAGAAAATCCGCCTTTTACTGAGGTGCCGTGCGAAGTAAAGGTCCACATTCACCGGGCTGCGCCAGGGGCCGCCAACGAGGCTTCGTACCATCTCCCGCCACATACTGCACTACAGTGTCCGGGAACTGCGTCCTTCAATGGGCTGCCGTGCGAGGTTGTGCGAACAGATACCAATACCGTGACGTTGTGTGGCCAGCAGCTTCCGGAGGATGGCTTTCTGGAACAATCCTTTGTAGCACGCACGGCCGCTGAACTGCACGGGGCCTTTGCCTCTTTCTGGGGTCGGTTGTGGCAGCGCGATGCTGGCCCTAGCTGTAAGGACCTGGATGCCTGGCCCAATTTCTTGGCGATGCTTGAGGATAAAGGGGTGCCAGTTGCTCAGGCTGACTCAGGCTAGTGTTCGGTCCTTCGCTCCTGACCTATGGAAAGAGGCCATCCAGCGGATGCCACGACGGAAAGCAACAGGGATTTGCGGCTGGGCGCCATCTGACTTAAAACTTTTGTCTCCTGAGGCCATTGAGGTGTTATGTCACATTTTCCACCAGGCCATCACATGTGGACTGCCTGCACATCTGCTGTGCGCCCGCATCTGCGTACTGGCCAAAGTGGCGGAGCCGGACTCCCTGCGGCAAAGCCGCCCGATCACGATCTTCTCCACTCTGTATCGAATTTGGTCGTCAGTGCTCACAAGACAGGTGTTGCAGCAGTGGCAGCCCCAGTTCCCGCGCACGGTCGCTGGTTCTATGCCACACCGGGCTTGCAGGGATGTCAGCTACCACCAGCAGCATCAGATTGAGCTTGCACTATTGTTCCACCGCAAACGCATTGGGGTCTCAATTGATTTGGTCAAGTGCTTCAACCAATTGCCGTGGCAGCCCAGTGCACACATGCTCCGCCTACTGGGCGTGCCCGCACCGGAGATTGATTTTTGGCTTAATTGCCTGACTAAGGTTCGCCGGCACTCTTGTTTTATGGGTGATATAGGTCCTGGCATTGCGTGCTATAACGGTGCCCCGGAAGGTGACCCGTTTAGTGTGGTGGTCATGGCCGCCGTCTGTCGTTTCGCCCAGCATCTGCAATCGAGTCCGTGCCAGCTTGACACCTATGTCGACAACTGGGCTTGGGCCGCTGAGGAGCATGCTCCCATGGCCGCAAGCCTTTCTGTGTCCTTCGAGTTCCTGCAGTCCCTGCAGCTACCAGTGGATTGGAAGAAGTCCTACTGTTGGGCCACCGCGAGGGCCGACCGGCTTTGGTGGAAAGCCGCAGGCCAAGACCTCTTCCCCACGCAGGATGCAGTACCGTGTGTCTCCACTGCCACTGATTTGGGTGTGGTCTACTGTTTCGACCGGCGTGCTCATGCCCGTGCCCGCGATGCCAGGCTGGAGTCCAATTTAAAAAAGTTGGATAGGTTGTATGAACAACCCAGGCCCGTTACGGAAAAGGCCTCTATGGTTCAGAAGAGGATTTGGCCCTCTGCCTTGTACGGAAGCGAGAGTCACTGCCACAGCTTGTCCTTCTTCCAGAAGTTGCGCGGCAGAGCCACTGCAATAGCGGGCAAAAGCAAGGTCTCCTCACCATTTCTGGCGCTGGGCGCTTTGACCGGGGATGTGATGGACCCTCAGGCCTACTGTGTCCGACAACAGCTGCTCGCACTGCGGCGCGCCTTCCTGATCATGCCAGAGACTGCGCTCTCCATACTTGCGGTTGCCACGGAGCCTATGGATGGGCGGAGTTGCGGCCCGGCTACCGCCTTACGTGCCAGCCTGCCCCGCCTGGGTCTGTCTTTGAATGCAGAGTGCTGCCTCAAGGGTCCGGACAATTCCAGACTGTTCCTTGACCGGTGTCGTGCCAAAGAGCTTGGGCGGATGATTGAGCGTGCATGGGCCTTCCAAGTCGCAGAACAGGTGCAGCATCGCAATGGATTGGGCCAACTGGACCCTCCCCTGCCGGGGGACACCGGCCGCTTGCTGAAAAAGCTTACCAGCTCCGAGCAGAAGGTGATCGCGCGTCACATCGTGGGTGGATTCAGCTCTGCCGCTGCTAAGCACAAATGGGATACTGACATTAGTGACGTTTGCCCACTGTGTGGTGCCGTACAGACTAAGAGCCATAAGATCCTCTTCTGCCCTGCTTTGGCTAGCGTGCGTGCGCCAGTGCAAGACTTTCTCAGCTATGCAGTTAGCAACTGGCCGCATTGGATTCATGGCCCCTTCGCTGTCAGTCCACCGGATACGGAAGTGCACAGACTTATCCTTCAGACACGACAGCTTGTGCCACCTCTGCCCCTCCCTGCCGAACTGGAGCTCCCTGGCCCTCGCGGCTACCTCAGAATGTTTACGGATGGTTCTTGCGCTCACCCCACACTCCCGTTGGCCTCCCGCGCCAGCTGGGCAGTGATCGTAGACACATCCGCTTCCGATGCAGATATCCCCGGGTATCTGGCGAAATGGCGACTCTCACGGCAGGTGCCTGACTGCTTTCGGGTCCATGCGATGGGGCTGGTGCCCGGTGAGCAGAACATCCACCGCGCTGAACTCTGCGCTATACTGCAGGCGGCCAGGCTAGCGTGTGATGCGGATTGTGCGGCTGAAATCTGGACTGATAGCCAGGTGGCGCTGCGAGAATGGGACCGGGTACAGAAAGGCGAGCGCCCCATGTGGCCCGACTTGTCTGCTGAGCTGTCTGAGGTGTGCAGAGCTAACATCTCGGTCAAGAAGATCAAGGCCCACAAGGACCTCATGGCCCTGTGGGGAATGGAGCAATGGCGAGCGGCGGGAAATGACCTTGCTGACACCGCGGCCAAAAGTGCCCTTCACCGTGAGTTCGAATTGGTCAAAGATGGTTGCGATGCTACGGCTGAGTGGCAGCTGGCCCAGCGGGATGCCCTCTGGATGTTCTGGCGTTTTCTGTTGCAGCTTTCACTGGAAGAGAATCGACTCCTGAAGTCTCTGACCGCGGAGGAGGCAACAGGGGAAGATTCAGTTACGGAGATACCGGCCCGGCCGCAAACTGCGTCTGTCCAGGCAGAGCTGGCCCTAGAGCGATGGTGCCAAATCGGCGTCGGCCCCTGGACGAGCTACAATCTGCCGGAAGTGCGCCGGGAGGTACTGTTGGCGTGTTCGTGGCCACCGTGGTTCACAGGTCCGCTGTGGAGTTGGTGCCGATCGTTGCGGTGGGCCACTGATGAAGGCGCCAGCCGTGCTAAACCGGGCGCTAGCAACCTCGAGCTGCTGGTGACCTTTGTGTGGTGCACAGGAGTCTTGCCCCCGCAGAGCTTGAGTGAAGGGGCACAGAGGGACAGCCCCCCGCGGAAATTTCTGTCGCCAGTGTGCCTGCGCCAGTTGACTACGAACCTTGTCGCTGCGGTTGAGCCACCGATCCATCTGGCCGCAACGGCGCAGGAAATGCTTCGCTTTGAGAGAGCTGGGACGGTCAACTGCCGCCTTAGGTGTCAAGTTTCGTCCTGATTTTCCTGAGGTGAAAGCTACTGGACAGTTGTTGCAGAGGGTGCTGGAAACCAGCAGCGCCGAATGGCTGATGCAACATGCGTCTAAGTTCGATGCCCTTTGCTGTACACACGTGGATGTTCAGAGAGCTTGGCAGCTCACTACTGACGCGGCCAGGACAAAGCTGGCTCGCGAATTGCGTAGAACTTGATTTTGGTAGTTTTCTTTTGGGGACACGCTACGGCGTTTGGACGCTGGAGGCACGGAGTCGCTTTGGCAGGCCCGTCGTCTCCCTTTCGAGCCAGTTAAAGGTTTAGGGTTTAGGGGATAGACTTTGTGAGTTGAGTGCTTTGGGGGTGTAGGCAGGGTATGGCAGGGTTTAGGAGTTGGGGTTTAGGCAAGATTTACACGCTCAGACTTTGAAGGGCTCAGGGCTTAATTAGGATTAGGTTTTTGGGCTGTTGCAGGTGTCGGGATCGTCAGCCATTCGATGTAGCAGTGTGGCAAGCCGACAGCAAGACAAGCGCATCGGAGGCAGCGTCGAAAAGACTGATCCCTCTATTGTCTGCATAGAGCCCATATGATGGTAAGCCCTACAGTACAGTGCCCGCCTTTGACTCTCGTAGCATCAGAACCTGTAACCCGGAGCCTGAAACCAAGGCTCTCGCGAAGGCCGGCGTAGACGATGGCCGGCTGTTTGCCGCCCTGTGCCTTGTTAGAAGTATCGTTGGTTGGGGTTTTCGAGTTTGGTGTCTGGGGTTTTTGCGGACATGATTTCATAGTGGTAGTAAACATGGACACGGACCTTCATTTACAACTGGGCTGCTGGAGTTCGCTCGGAAAGGTTAGTGCCCGGAATTCCGATCTGGGGTTTAAGTCCACGGTCCGGGTCGAGGCTTATGTTTGAAGCTTCAGCTTTCGAAAGCAGCAACCCCATGCCCCATGTTGGCTTCAGGGTGTTGCTAGCAGCTCTAAGGGGCAGCTACGCGCCTGATGTCTCCAAACAGGGTCAAATGGGAGCCTCATTTCTGACACTCCCGTCTACTCTCCGACATGGAAGTATATGGGTAGCTGTCAAAACGATAATCCTTCAAAAGAATTCAGTTCTAGTCTTAATACCGCACCGCTTGGTTTGAGACACAAGATGAGCGCACTTTGACAAACACCCACATAAGCCCGATGCTCAGCCCCTAAAGCCCAAACTTCGTTTCCAGTGTTCGTTCCTGTACTGCGACGTCGACGCAGTCGGCTGGAACCCCTCAACTTGAAACCTAACCCCGACACCCCCAAACCCTATACCTGGCAACCTAGAGACTCCAATACCCTTAATTAAAAGCATACTCCTTAAATCATATAAGAGACCCTGATATGATTTAAGGAATAGTTCGCAGTTAAGGGAACGGTTTCGGGAACCTCCCAAACCCATCCTCTCAAAGGACATGCATATGGCAAACGTATAAGATAACCCACGCACAGCTGTGTTATTTTGGTTGGAGGTCGAACAGCAGAGTCGAGCAGGGAACCTTTAATTTTCGTTTGTTGAGAGGGGTCATACAATCCTGATCTTAGTCGCAAACGGTTGATTTTCATAATTCCCTAAGAAAACTAGACAAGTTGGAGAACTTCAAGCAGAGAGTTGGCGGTCGTCAAGCCTTTACAGCCTTCGAAGCACACCCCGAAACTTTCGGGTTCAGGGTTCCCTAAAGCCCAACCCTCGACGCACCCGAACACCCTGCAATCTAAGCTTAAAGAGCCGCCTTAGCCCTAAACTCTAACCAACACATGAGGGTGGTTGTCAAAATTGGGGTCCCCTTTTGGGTCCTGAGTATAATACGGCACCTAATATTTAGGGTACCCAAGAAGGGACCCTAATTTTGACAACCACCCACATAGAAGCCCTGGACGACCGAGCTCTTATCAACCGTTGATATGCCGTCTTGGCCCATTCACCAGAATAGGATTATCGACCCTTTACCTAGCCAAACCCACAGCCCAAACCTTCAGAAATCCCCGAAACCGTAAGGACACGCCCTTCGAAAGCCTCAAGAATTTATTGGGACAGCAACCCAAAGACTCCACACCCCAGCTGTAATCATAATAAGGTTCCATCCCCCGATCATGTACGGGTGGGATATTCCTTCGTCAAGGGTTTTTCTTGAGCTGCTGGGAAGGTCCCACCAGACCCAGCAGCTCACAGCGCATGGTGCAGAGTTCAACCACTTAGATCTCTGCCAGCATCCCGCCAGCACTTGTTTGTTTTTCGTCCGGGGGGGCTTTGGGGCTTGAGGCCCCGAAACCAAAGGTTTAAAGGTATAGGGCTTTGAGGGTTTCGGGATTGGGTTGCCAGGGCTTTGTGGCGAAGGGGCTGTAAGTTTGAAGTCTAGTGATGCACCTATGTATGCAAGCCCTACTAATGTACCCAAAGGGTCCAAGTATCAATATGGTATATACTTAGACCCCCGAAATACCCTATAAGTATATACCATAATGATACTTGGACCCTGTGGGTTTGTGATCCCGGAGCTCTATCCAACCCAAAACCCCACACCCTAAACCAACCCTAAAACCCTATAAGTATATACCATAATGATACTTGGACCCTGTGGGTTTGTGATCCCGGAGCTCTATCCAACCCAAAACCCCACACCCTAAACCAACCCTAAAACCCTATAAGTATATACCATAATGATACTTGGACCCTGTGGGTTTGTGATCCCGGAGCTCTATCCAACCCAAAACCCCACACCCTAAACCAACCCTAATACCCTATAAGTATATACCATAATGATACTTGGACCCTTTGGGGTATGCTTATTTGGGTTTTCAAGGGACCCTATATATATAAATATTTTTCAGGGTGTTTAAAGGCCAACCCAGTAATGTATGGTGGGTCGGTACTTTCGGGTTGCAGGGCTTTGCGGCTTCGCCAGGGCTGGCTCCTCTTGGAAGGGCAGGGGACTTAGTAAGTAGGGCTCCTTAAAGGGATCTATAGGGTTCCTTAAAAGGGATCTATGGGGTTTAGGGTTTAGGGACTTAGTAAGTAGGTTATAAGTGGGGTTATAATTGGGGTAACTCCATTTAGGGTACTTATAACTCTACTTATAACCTACTTACTAAGTCTCCTGCCCTTCCAAGTTGCTTTCCTGAAGATGAGAACAGGCCCCAGTCCTGACAACCGAAGCCCCCACAACGCAACCTTCCTTAAGGACGAAAAGAACCCTAAAAGGGTTTAGGGTTCATATACCTTCTAGGGATTCATAGTATAATTGTATAGGGCCCCTACTTTTAAGGGTCATTTGGTCCTTAAGGTTCAAGCCTCAGACAACGCAAGCGGACGAAGACCTTTTGCTCCTAAGTGACTCGAAGTCAATCGGCACTTTCGCCACGTCGCTACGTTTCCTGGAACCCCTTTTCCAGCAGAAATCAAACCCTCAGCTCCGCAAACTCTAATCCCCTGTAAAGCCTTAAACCCTTAAATCTAAATCCTAAAGCCCCCTAGCCCCCAGAGACGCCAATATCCCTTAATTAAGGAATATTCCTTAAATTAAGCAGGATCCCTAATATGACTTAAGGAATATTCCTTAATTAAGGGATATTGGAGTCTCTGGGCCCCTGTAAAGAGCTCAGAGAAGCCTGGAGGTCCCGAGACTCGACCCCTTGGACTCTCAGGCTGCTGGCAGCGCTCGCTCATTTCGGATATCGTGGCCCGGATTCTGGGTTTCGGGTTTTGGGGTTGAGCATCCGGAGGTAAGGGCTGCAGGATGCTGCAGGGTTTAGGTTTTGTTATTCATTGTTGATTTCGAGCTCAGGGTGCAAAGGTTAAGGATGGAGTTTATAGGGCTAAGTTGAGGGTGTGGGATGGGAGCGTTTCTTGTTGTTTTGGATTCGAGGGGACCCACAGACCCTAGCATGTGTGTCGAATGGTTCATGGAGCTCTTCGTCAACCCTGCCCTGCATCGCCGCAGCCCGGCAACCGCAACCTGCCAGTGAGATCGGGAGTGCTGAAACTAACTGACCTTAGCTGATTGGGAGGGGATCCGTTTCATAAGCCCACTGTTACTATCGGTAAGGGCATGCTTTTTTTTGCCTCACGACACGCTGCGTTCTTAGGCCACATGGTTCGACTCGTCAGGAAAACACGTGTAACGCTGTTCTTTCCTCTGGTGTTCCTTCGGGGTGCAAGGTTGCACCAAAACTGTGAACGCTGAACCCTGTCTATAAGGCCCAAACCCTCAACCCTAACCCTGTCTATAAGGCCTAAACCCTCAACCCTACTTACTGGCAGCCAACCCTAAACCCGAAACATCGGTGACCGGCATGACGACGCTGAGGCGATGAGATGCTCTTGCAAGCCTTGGTTTCGAAGGTTGAGCCGTCTTTCGGCACTTACAGTGCGAAGTCACGAGATATCGCCCTCTTGCTGCAAGAAAGGGGGTATTGGATTGCGGTCTGGGTGAAACCCACTTCAAGTTTGGACCCAGCTTTCCCAAAGACCAGATAGTTTGAATTAACATCCCACCATGAAAGGCTGTCAGGCGGTACACGAATTCTAAATCACAAAACGCAGCTCCCAATCTAAGACTGGACTGAATTGAGACGCTTCCGTGATGCGTAAACCCCAGCGCTTGAAGCCGCGGAGCTGTAAACCTTACTCGATGAAGTCTAGCGCGCAGCCTTCTTGCGGGGTGCACGCCTGCGTGCATCTAAGTGAGATCTGAGCGTACTGCACTTTGTTGAAGTTGAAGTGTTTTGAGTCGATGCGCATGCATGGCAGCAACTGGGCTCACAGAGCTAGTGTGTTTTGGGGGCAAGGCTGCTGGGCTATCCGAGGGCAGCAGTAGCGAAGGAAGCTCATCTAGCAGTTCGAGCAGCGAATCTGCTACGGAAGCGGAGTCGGACGGCGAGTAGTGTGCTTGCTGGAGTCGGACCGGACGGCAAGTAGTGTGCTTGCTGGAGCAGAAATTCTCGAGCGATCATGGCGCTACGAGCTTATGTGTGGCATGTCGCAGTTATCGGCTAGTGTTGCTGATCAGTGTTTTGCGCATGCGTGCCTAGGATGACGAAGCATCCTTTTTTGCTCTCGTGTCGCATGTTCATCTCTTTTATGCGCAGCTTTTTTTGTGACAGACCGTGCACGCTGCTGACCGTTCCCAGGCAGGGCCTGACTTTTTAAACGCTATCTATTTTAGTGCTCTGGGCGTGTCGCCGATAGCCAACACCCTGCAGAAGGGCCTGGTGTGCCAGTCTGCGTTGTGTCACGTGGTTCTGTGTGTGCTTATAACTTCTCGTGACGAAAGCGGGCCAGAATACGGCCTGCGAAGGGCTGTGTATCGCCCTTGCCGCTTGTGCTGATGTCCGTTGCTTCTCTTGCGCCCTGCTAGGTACTGGCTAGCTTTCCGGCACATGGCGGGAATCGACGATGCAGCTATCTTGGACAAGGTGGAATCCGAGCTGAAGTACCAGATGGACGAAGCTGGTGTCCCTCTGCCGATCCAGCTGATGGCCTACCGCAAGGGGTTTGATTGCATCCGCGTCTTTGCCGGCATCGGTGAAACAAAGGCCGAAGTGCGGAAGGCTCTCAAAGATGAGCTGCCACTAGATTATTCCGCAGATGCTGAGTCCCGGCGCAACATGGCGCTGCTCTTGGCAGTTTGGGATGCCTGTCGTCTGCACCTTGCTGTGCAGGAGAAAAACAAGACGGACGCAAAAATGGGCGTGCAAGCTCGCAATGTGCCTTCCACTGAGCACGCAGCCATGAGGATTGCAGTGGAGAAGCTCTACGGCAAGCTCAAGGACAAGGAGCTGCCCAGCAAGACGTTCTTAGCACAGAAACTGGAACAAGTCGAAGACAATGCCCCGCAGGCCGAGGACCTTCGTGACGTGACGAGTCTAGAGGACGCCGAGATGGAGGCCTACAATGCCCTGATCGATCCGTCCACTTTCACGCTCCGCATCAAGCCAGGGCGCACGACGACCACCCTGCCAGCCACTCCCGAGGAGTTACGCATGCGACACAGGCGGCTTGGTTTCGCATGGGAAATGGTGAAAACAAAGCACCTATCTCGGTCTTGGTTGCCCGACCGCTGCGTGGATGCTTTCCGGGAGCTGTCGGACCACGTGCTTGGCTCACATGTTGCCGGGCTTCGAGCACCGGGCGGTCACTCACCTTCCTGGAGCATGGTTCTTGTCTACGAGGGAGAGTTGCGGAAAGCGGCCTATCGCTATGTTCGCGATGGGACCTCGCCTGATCTACACGAAGCGCTGAAGCGCGCCTGCAACGCGCCTGAGATCATGAGCACGTTCTTCGTCGTGCCCTTCACCTTGGCGGGGTCCGAGCGATCCGGCAGCATGGAGTCCACTTCCCTGGCGCTGCCCCCGCCGGAGTCCTGGTGGCAACGCGGCACTGCAAAAGGCAAGGGGAAGGGCAAAGTCAACCAGGTCAAGAAGCTCATCGGCAAGTCCTATCGCACCCCGGATAACAAGTGCATCTGTTTTTGGTTTAATCGTAAGACGGGTTGCCAGCGTGCTGATTGTAAGTACGAGCATGTGTGCCAACGGTGCTTCGAGAAGCACTCGTATGTGAACTGCCCTCACGTACGCCGCACCGGATCGGACGAGTGACTATCCAACCCTGCGGGCCAGACCTCGCTTGCAGGGGGGGAAAGAGTCACGGGTGAAGCCTGTGGAGCCGGCCCCCAGTGTCAGCGACAGCGACAGTGACAGTCCAGCAGCGGCATCAGAGCACAATGGGTTTGGTGCGTGTGAGATAGGCGACATGGCATTGCAACGCGTGCAACAAGAAGTCGTGGGAAGCGAGTCGCATGTTGGGAGTCAGCTTGGCGATGGACTATGGGGTCACGGTGCACCGTTGCCATCCGTTCTGCTTGGGAAGCGGCGAGACTTCGCGGATGGGTTTGGCCTCTGCTCGCCTGGAAGATGGCCACCCAAGATGCGGAGATCTTCTGTGGACACGCCTTCTCTGGGCTTTGCGGAGCGGCTGGCTGTCGAGCTGCTGAAGCTGCTGAGTGCCAGCGTAGATATTCGGCGCCTAGCTATGAAGCTTGCTGCAGGGAAGGTCGCGGAGTGTCCCTTCAGCGAGGAGTTGGTGAATGAGGGCCGGGAGCTCCTTTTTCTGACTTTGGAGATGGCGGGCACAGAGCTGCCCGTGCGCGAAAGGCCTGAGGGCCAACCTTTCTTCCTGGCGGCGATCGAGGAGTTATTGCGCATCTCCGGAGATCCTGACTTTGCTGCTTTTTACACGTCTGCGGACTCGTTTGCAAAGGGTGTCAAACTGGGTGTCGATGTTGCATTGCCTAGAGTCCCGGCAGTCTTTGAGGAAAAACTACGACATCGCAAGTACGGTGAAGACGCAGAGTGGCAGCGCGTCGAAAGGGCCAATTACATGTCGGCTGCAGAGCATGCGTCTGAGGTGCAAGCACAGTTTGAGGAGGAAGAGAAGTTGGGCGCCATGATCCAGATGTCTGCTCGAGAGGCATCAAAGAGATATGGCGACAAACTGCGTTTTGCTTCGCTGGGGGCGATTGAGAAAAGGGATGGGGCAAAGCGTGTCACACATGATGCCACACATGGAGTTGGTGTTAACTCTGCAATCCAGCTCCAGGATCAAGTTCGTTACCCGACGGCAGGGGACTTGCGCACCGCGCTGATGACACTGCCGAGAGCTTTCTTTGGGCTGACAGGCGATGTTAAGCGCGCACACCGCTTATTGAAAGTGGCCGCCTCTGATTGGGGGTACACAGCCTGCCGGACCGGTGTGCAAGGCGAAGATATGCTTTGGTTGAACACCGTAGGGACATTCGGCGTGAGTAGCATCGCGTTCCACTGGTGCCGTCTTATGGGTGGTCTGGGCAGGGCCGCGTACTACTTGATAGCGTGCCTAGAAATCCTGCACATGGTGTACTCGGACGACCTGTTCTGGTTGACGCAGGATTCTGCGAATGGCATCGACTACATCGTGTTGCAAGTCTTCTTCTACGTAGTCGTCGGAGTCCCTTTCTCCTGGAAGAAGTTCTGCGGGGGGATTGAGTTTGCCTGGGTTGGGTTTTGCATTTCCATCAAGGATAGGGCGCTAGGGGTCTCGGCACGGCGAGCCACGTGGCTAGTCGATTGGCTGAAGAAGACAGCGCATGCGAGACAAGTGAGGATTGCAGATCTGCGGGCTGTTATGGGCAGGCTCTCTTTTGCGCTAACGGCTCTGGGGCACCTGCGGCCGTTCCTTGGCCCTTTGTATGTGTGGCTGGCTGTGGCGCAAGTGCAGCATGTCGGCCGTTTGCCCAAAGCCGTTGTGTATATCATGACCTTCCTTGCAGCGGCTCTGGAAGGACACGGACGCCTCCTGCCGGTGGGGCGCTTGCCTGCAGCGGAACGAGAGCTGTTCCGGACCGATGCCCGCGCCGAAGGCAACGAGATCTGGATCGGGGGGTGGGCCCTGGATCATCAAGACAAGAGAAAGTGCAGGTGGTTTGCGGAAAGGCTGGACCATGCGAGTGCCCCGTGGCTATACGCAGCCGGAGAGTCCTATCGCCAGATCGGTGCCCTCGAGCTGCTCGCGACGCTGGCGGCAGTGGTGCTTATTCGGAGTGCCTAAGGGGCAGCGAGGATGTGTGCGATGCTCGGCTGGAACCGACAACATCGGCAATAGTTACGTTGTTGCGAGGTTGCTGAGCACTTCCTTTCCCCTGAATGCATTCTTGATGGAACTAGCGTTGCGCCTGCAGAGGGAGGGCGCCGAGTTGCACCTGTACTGGCTACCCAGGTTGCAGAACGCTGAAGCTGATGCATTGACAAATGGGAACTTCGCGGCATTCAGTCAAGATCGGCGCCTGCGTTTTGACCTGGCGAGTTTCAAGGGTCTGATCCTGCAAGACATGCTGGAGCAAGGCTTAGAGCTCTATCAGGAAGTCCGCGAGTGCAGAGCCGCTAAGCGGATGAAGATGGCCGCGAAGACCTCGAGGATAGACAGTCTTCGTGTGCGGGACCCGTGGCAGTGATCTAGCCCGTACTGCGGCTGAAGAAAAGAAGGGACTTGTTCGCTGCAGATCTAGTGCGCCTTGCCAGGGGGGAACATGTGCGACTAGACCTGGCGAGTCTGTCAGGTTCCAGGGGGACGCGTGCGCCTCCCTAATTGTCGTACTGGAATTGTCTAGGCTTTGTGCTCTGGACTACCGACCACCATTCAGCAAAACATGTCAAAGAGTGCTTCGGTGGGCAGGGCTGGGGTTTGGTTTGTTGAAGTACAGGGAAGATCTCTTCATTTCAATCCCAAATGAGTGTGAAGATAACTAGGCATACCATGACCTAGAACTCCACACCCAGACCACACCCCAGCAGCTGCTGCCGAGTTCCTCGTATGTTTCCTCAACAGATTGGTTTTTGAGTTTTAAGGTCGGGTTAATCTCACCCCTAAACCCTAAGGCAAAGCTTTCAGGTGCTTTCGTCCCTTTCCGAGCTCGACTTTGCGTGTCCGGAGCACCGTCTCCTCAGCGAGGCGTTGAAGGCGCTGGGCTTAGGGTTTGGTTAGGCAGCCAGCAGGCCTTCTGTTTAAGGGGGAACGCATCCCAAGAACTAGCTCCACTCGTGCATTCCTGCCTTTTTCACCGGGTTTCGAATCCTGAGAACTTTGTATAAAAGAGAAAGAGTCTCGTTACCCTATAGACCTCATAGTTAGGGCATGTTAGGGCGCTAGACGCCTTAAGGACCCCATAATAAGGTCCCTGCAGGCATAGGGTTAGTATTGTATGAACTGGGGAGCCAGGAGAAGGGTTTCATCTTGCTGTCGATGCAGCCGTCACGTTTCTTCTTACCATGACTTTGTCATAGTTGGGTAACATTTCACATTTTTATGGGGGTACCCAATAAGGAATACAAATGTACATTGTTCATCCTATCCCAACAATGAACTAGATGAGCACCAGCACGCGACACAAAAGACCCTAGGAGACCTTCAGCCCAAACCGGACAGTCTTTGATTTTTGCTGCTGTTTAGTTTAGTGTATAGTAGTTGTGGGTAGCGGTATAGAAGTCTTATAAGGGGGTTGTCAAAATCATGGTCCCTTCTTGGATCCTTATTATAATACGGCACCTGATATTTAGGGGACCCAAAACGGGACCATGGTTTGACAACCACCAAGGGTTAACTGCCAATAGCATCTGTCGTATGGCTCATGCACACTCAACTCCTGCCCCAGTTAGGAGCACGAGCTGACCCATGGGCGCACCACGGAGCGGACGCAAGAGCACATGCTGGCGACCGAGATCCACCCGACTGATGCGCATGTGGATCAAAATTGACTCGAGTTCGTCTCGGCCAATAATGTAAACCAGTTCAAATTACTAGACTCGCATACTGTAATCGCCGCAAGCCCGCTCTCATAGTTGCCCCGTAGTATATCGCTAAGCCCCTAAACCTAAACCCTAACTCCCTAAACCCAAAGCCTTTAGCGGTCTTCATGGCAGGATCAGGATTCCGGGATTGACGGCGACTTGCTTTGCAAGTGTCGCGCTGTTCGTACAGGTTCTATCGGGTTTAGGGTTTAGTGAAAAGGGGTGGTTACCTTAAGTTTCCAGAGCCTTGCTTTTTGGTAGGTGCTTGTGATGGAGTTTATGGAATTTGTAGGGTCCCTGCAGAAGAGGTTTTGGTAGTTCAAGGTAGCTTAATCGCTACGAGTGGCGTGATGTGTAATGAGACCGACAGTTCCAGGCAATGTAAGGGCCTTAACAATTAGAATAGGGGTTTGGGTTTTGGGGGGTCCTTATCATAATTATCGAATAACATACCCCCAAACCCTATTCTAGTAATTAAGGCCCCGACAATAACACACAGGCGACTTGGATCCCTAATTTCAGAAGCCTTGCCTTTCCCGCAACCTTGTAGACTAACAAACCTCAGTGTGAGTTGCAGGTGGCCCTGAGCCCACGCTCTCGATTCGGGGTGCCCTAAACTGGCCCACCCTACCCATAGGCCCCAAAGTAGTTCCTTTTCGGGATTACCTGGTAGGATTCTATATACGAACCCACAAAGGAATTACTTCGGGGCCTATGGGTAAACTCTATCTAACCCCTGTGCCCTTCCTGTTATTGGCCCAGGGCTCCTTCGCCATTGGCGATATAGACTCGGAAGGGCCCGGGGTAGCGCCATGGCGGGCAACTCTCCAACATCACCCCTACCGGGTGTGACACGGGGAGGTGCGAAAGCTGCCCCTATTGGAAGCTTAGGCAGTATCTCCGGCAGCAGTTAAGAATGATTTTGCGATTTCCGGCGAGGGGTGGAACCATTAAAGCAAAAGCAGCAAAAAGAACAGGGATGTCTTGCGAATAGCAAAGGCATCACCATCCACTCTCCTCTCGGCTCCGTGACGAATGGCGGGGCTTTTGCCAGCGGTCACTTCAAAGTCACGCCCCATGGCCAGCGACGCCGTTGGGCAGACATGACCCCAGTTGAGATGTGGCCAGCCACTCCGAGCCCCGGCGCTGGGCCAGAGGCCCTGCACAGTTTCGGCGTGCCCGCGGCCAATGCCACGCCCACCTCCCCATCGACAGTGCCACCGCAGGTTTTCCCTGCATACACAGTGACCTCTCAACCGCAGAGCCAGCCGCAGCCAGCCCCGCCATCTCACATGACCGTGCACCCAGTGCCTGAGCTGCGTTTCAGGGAGAGGCTGTGCAGCTGGAAGTTGTCGCGACATTTGCCATGAGAACTTCTTTAAACTACTACTAGACAATATGTATATACATATATATATATATATATATATACATATATATGTAGATAAAAAAGTTTTAAAACTTATAGTAGATAACATATACGTATGTGTATATATGTGTATATATATATATATATATGTATGTATATATATATATATATATTCAATACCCCGCGGCCTTGAAGCTAAGGCACCGGCACCCGTGCAAGCGGTACCTGCAGCATCCTCGATTCCGGCACCTTTCCCGGGGGGTGTGATCCCCGCGGGGATGCCAGCAGTCCCAATGCCCGGCATGCCGATGCCCATGCCAGTGCAAGGACTTTCCATGCAAGGGGGTGGGGCCATATATGATATAAGGCTGTGTATATAAGGGGACATTGTATAAGAACACCATGGGACGGAATCCAATCACTGACCTCGGGTTTGTGTCAAGGTGAGTCAAGGACGCATGGGGATGGAGCAGCTATGAACATGGTGTTTCAACATTGGTTTCCTAGCATTGCTCGTGATATCAGTGGGCGGTATCGCCAGAAGTGCTTATACCCTCGCAAGGTAGCACAACGGCTATTCTGCCCATCGGTATCATCAGCGTTTCTCTGAGCCCTAAAACGTCACCGAATCCTCTTTTTGTACACAGCTCCTCGTCGGGGTCCACTGTTTTTTTTTTCCTAGGTCTGGCCTGGTCTGGGGGGCCTTGCTAGGTCTGGTCCCATGGTCCCTTGGTCCCCTGGCCCTTTGGTCCTCTGGTCCTGGTCCCCTGGTCCTTTGGTCCTCCGGTCCCCTGGTCCCTGGTCCGCTGGTTCCCTGGTCTCTCCTGGTCCTGTACCCCGAAACCCTCAAACCTGCAAGAACGCGTAGCCTTGATGACTTCCATTTACGATCTCTAGTAGCCACCAGTACCACGTTCGAAACTTTCCTGCAGGTTTGTGAAGCAGCCAGCCCATCTAGACGGAAGGGTCCAAAGAACCAAATACGTAGGATGGAAGCCGCAGTATCCATGTCTGTCTGTCCGTCTGTCTGTAACAAACAACTAGCAACAAACAACTAAATAACTAACACAACTAACAACAAACAACTAACAACAAACAACAAACAAGAAATAACAAACAACAAACAAGAAACAACAAACAATAAACAAGGAACAATAAGCAGAAAACAACCAACAATTAACAAGAAACAACTAACAACTCACAACTCACAAATAACAACCAACAACTGACAACTAACAGCTAACACCAACAACTACCAACTAGCAACGAACAACTAACACGTAACAACTAGCAACTAGCAACTAACAACTAACAACTAAACAACTAACACAACTAGCAACTAACGCAACTAGCAACAAGCAACAAGCAACACACAACAAACACCAACAACAACACCACCACCACCACCATCACCACCACCACCAACAACAACAGCAACAACACTAACAACAACACCAACAACAACAACAACAACAGCAACAACAACCACAACAACCACAACAACAACAACAACAACAACACCAACAACAACACCAACAACAACAACAACAACAACAACAACAACAACAACAACAACAACAACAACAACAACAACAACAACAACAACAACAACAACAACAACAACGTCTGTCTGACAACAACAACAACAACAACAACAACAACAACAACAACAACAACAACAACAACGGCACCATCCACAACCACAACCACCGCGACAACCACAACAACAACAACAGCAACAACAAGGGGATAGGCATCAACAAAAAGTTAAATTTGGATCAAAAAAAAGTTAAATTTGGATCAAAAAAATAACCTAGCCGAAACCACGACAGGAAGGAAGGAAGGAAGAAAGGAAGGAAGGAAGGAGGAAGAAAGGAAGGAAGGAAGGAAGGAGGGAAGCACGAAAGGGAGGAGGGAAGGAGCAAAGGAGGGAAGGAGGAAAGAAGGAAGGAAGGAGAGAAGGCAGGAAAGAGAAAAGCAGGAAGGAAGGAAGGAAGGAAGGAAGGAAAAAAGCAAGGAAGCAGCGAAGAAAGAAAGAAAGAAAAGCAAGAGGGAATGAAAGGAAATGGAAGGAAAGGCCCCCCCCAACCCCCGTGTCTTTTAACTGCAAACTGCCCGCTTTCTTAAGCTGTCGATGAAATGAATTAAAGACGTTTTTTTTTCCAACGCACAAGAAGGACAAAGCCACACGAAAACGCTTCAGGGGGTTTAAATAGCGACGAAGATAAAGTTTCTCGTGAATGAAACGTCTTCACCGACAGGCAAAAGGGCGAACGCCAGACGTACTCGTTTTGGGAAGGCAAGAACAAGAACACGAGAAAACAAAGTAAGACGAAAACGCGCGTCTCCTTTGGATAACGAAGAAAGGGAGGAGCCACATGAAATCGCTTTAAGGGCGGTAAAAGCGAGCAAAACAAAGCTCATGTTGGAAGGTTTGCAAATGGGGGGGGGCTGCGCCCCCCCCAACCCCCCCTCTTTTAACTGCAAACTGCGCGCTTTCCGGGGGGTTTGAAAAGTGAAGAAGATGAAGTTTCTCATGAATGAAACGTCTTCACCGACAGGCAAAAGGACGAAAGCCAGACGTACTCGCTTTGGGAAGACAAGAACAAGAAAACAAATTAAAACGAAAACATACGTCTCTTCGGCTAACGAAGAGAGGGAGGAGCCACATGAAATCGCTTTAGGGGGGTAAAGGGGTAAAGGCGAGCAAAGCAAAGCTCATGTTGGAAGGTTTGCAAATGGGGGGCTTCGCCCCCCCCCAACGAAAACGTTCAGGCGGTTAAAAAAGCAAAGCAGGTCAACTTTCTCACAAATGAAACGTCTTCACCGACAGGCAAAAGGGCGAAAGCCAGACGTGCTCGCTTTGGGAGGGGAGACCAAGAAAACAAAGTAAAACGAAAGCGTGCATCTCTTTGGATAACGGAGAGAGGGAGAGCCACATGAAACTGCTTCGGGGGGGTAAAAGCGAGCAAAGCAAAGCTCATGTTGAAAGGTTTGCAAATGGGGGGGGTTGCGCCCCCCCCAACCCCCCCGCTTCTTTGACTGCAAACCGCCCGCTTTCTTAAGTTGTCCAGCCACATGAAATCGCTTTAGGGGGGTAAAAGCGAGCAAAGCAAAGCTCATGTTGGAAGGTTTGCAAATGTGGCGGACTGCGCCCCCCAACCCCCGGTCTTTTAACTGCAAACTGCCCGGTTTCTTAAGCTGTCGATGAAATGAATTAAAGAAACGCACAACAAGGACAAAGCCACACGAAAACATTTCAGGGGATTTTAAATTCGAAGAATCGAAGAATAGAAGATTTCTCATGAATGAAACGTCTTCACCGACAGGCAAAAGGGCTCAAGCCAGATGTATTCGCTTTGGGAAGCCAAGAGCAAGAAACAAGAAAACAAACGTAAAACGACAACGTGAGTCTCTCTGGAAAACGAAGAGAGGGAGAAGCCACATGAACTGCTCGCTTTCTTAGCTAGTCAAGACACATGACATCGCTTTAGGGGGGCAAAAGCGGGCAAAGCAAAGCTCATGTTGGAAGGTTTGCAAATTGGGGGGGGGCTGCGCCCCCCCCAACCCCCCCGCTTTTTAACTGCAAACTGCCCGCTTTCTTGAGTTGTCGAGCCACATGAAATCGCTTTAGGGGGGGCAAACCGAGCAAGACAAAGTTCATGTTGGAAGGTTTGCAAATGGGGGGGGTCTGCGCCGCCCCCACGCAACCCCCCTGTTTTCTTCTCAGGAATGAAACGTCTTCACCGACAGGCAAAAAGGCGAAAGCCAGACGTGCTCGCTTTGGGAGCACAAGCAGAAGAAGACCCTGCGAATTGTAGTTCCCCAATAGCTTGATGCAAAACACAAGCAACACCGATCCCTGCAAATGCGAACCCCCCAATAGCTTCATGCAAAACACAAAGAAAACCGAACCCTGCAACTTGTGGTTCCCCAACAGCTTCATGCTAAACACAAGCAAAATCAGACTCCGCAAGTTGTAGTTCCCCAATAGCTTCATGCAAAACAGAAGCAAAACCAGAGCCGTCGAATTCTAGTTCCCCAATAGCTTGATGCAGCAAAGACCGCAGTTGCCGCTGTTGGCAACCACAACCAGTGGGCCAGACTTAGGAAAGCAAGCCGGGGAGGGCCAGACCTAGGAAAAAAAAACCGCTCCGCCCTCCTCGTCGTGTCTTCGTAAACGCCAACCTCCAAAGCCCTACACACCGCAATTGGCAAGTTAGGGTTTGCAGAGTTTAGGGTGGCCGTTAAAAAAAAGAGCCCTTGAACCCCAACAACTCCCTAAACCACCATCAGTCCAAGCCAAAATCCCGGCGAGAGCGCGCCGAGACCCCAAACCCAGAGCCCTAAACCCTAATCGCAGACCCGAAGCTAGGCTCCAAACCCACCAGTTCTGAGGTTTGCGAGTGCTAACACGGGATACGGGGCCTAAACCCTTTAGTGCAGGGGCCAAATGGTATGGATAGGGTGCAGGGCTTAGGGTTTGGCGTAGTGTTGTTTAGACAAGTGTATAGAAAAGATTAGAAAAGTATACTGACTTATTAGGAATCCTCCGGATTAGCATGAGTAACTATTATTTAGGCTTCTACATTCCCCTTGGCTTGGGTTATAGAGCTCAAATCGTTGAGGGCTTAATACTGGGCTCTAGGGTCTCGGTGAACTTGTTTTTCTAGGTCTACGTTTGTCCTACCAGAACCCACTTTCGGGTAGGCCCCCTGTAAATTCCATATCAGGGTTTGTTATAAGAGCCTACACAAAAGTAGCCTGTGGTAGCTGAATTTAACCTAGTAGTAGAGTAGGCAACCTTTAACCTTCTTTGGGTAGTATAGTCCCTATATTATCCCTATATAACCAAAAAGGTTAACCTATAGTTCCCCATGATACCCGACAAGTAGGTTAAAGGTGGGGCCCAAAAGGTGCAAAAGCAGAGGCTACAGATTCAGCCGCAGAAGAGGCAGTTGCCGATGATAACGACAGCCACCGAGGAACTTACCTGTGGTGGGTAGGGAGTGGAGGAATGGGGTACACTTATAACTACTATTACTACCATTCTTTCATTCCCTAAAAGGTAAGGGAAGAGCGCCCGCAAGGGCAGAGAAGCAGAGGAAGCGGGTGCGAAGCTGGGCCTATGTGCAGTGGTTCATCCCTGACGTCCTCTGAAGAGGGCAGGCAGGAGACTGTGTGGGGCAACTGCCGCAGCCAAACCCAGCCCATCCAATCTTGGCCTCGTGGCCAACCGTCCCGTTGCCCACATGCTGATGCGGAGAAGATTGTGCGAGAGAGGGTGCTGAAGGAAGACCAGCCAGGGAAGCATGAAATCTGTTCTAGAAGATCTTCGCATCAAGATTCTGTATGGATTGAAATCGAACCTGAGGATTCAATCTCAGGGCCTACAATCTCGCACACCGACCCGCAAACAAAAAACTGAGCCCTCCCCCCTAAACCTCTAAACTCCCCTAATCCTAAATCCTACACCCCAAACCTTAAACCCTGTACCTAAACGGGTTCTTCTGACAAAAACAATCTCGAGGAGGCGCTGACGGCACCCAGATGGTCATCATGCAGGTCCCTTCCCCGGCTTTTTGTTGGGGGCTTTTTGGTGGGGGTCTTTCAAGGGTTCCGGCTGTTCGGGCTTTTGGGGGTTACTATGTTCAGGGTGCGTTTAATGGTTCCATCAAGTTCATGCTGTCAGGGTGTTGGGTATTGGCTTAGGCTCAGGGATCTTGCGGATTCTACGGGGGCCTAAATAATTACCTATATACGATTTTGGGGGTTCCTTGTTATAATTACCAGTATAATGGGCCCCAAACTTACAATTATTAAGGCCCCTATATTACTCCCGGCCAACGCTACTGCAGGCTTCTTGTCTCAGTCCCAGTTCGAGTGGATGGAGATCGGAAGTTGAGGGTTTGGGGCGACATGCCTCGCGGGAAGCACTTCGGCCCTCAGGAGCTGCATTCATGTAGGAACCTAATTAAGAAACCCTAGGCCTATAACCCCCAAATAGAAGGAACCCTCATAAAGGCCCAAGGTTTCTTCATCAGGTTCCTACATTACAGTCTTAAGGGTTTCGGAGCAGGGGTTATGCAGGACAGATGCCGGACAGAACTTCACAACACCATCTGCAAGTTTAGGGTTCAGGGTTTAGGCGTCGGGGTCTGCGGACCCCCCTCTCATGCAGCATACATCGCACAGTCCCGAAAGGCATAGGTTGCCATCTCCGCTTCCCCACGTCATATGTGCATGCCGCAAAGTAGACCCTCCCTATGTTGAACTTTCGCGCACGGGCGAGGTACCGAGGCAAACAGGCTCCTTTATCGGAGTAACTATGCACTAAGTAAGCCCGTGTTCATCAGTCGTGCGCTCATGCCCCAAAATCGCCCAAGTCTCATGCATCAAGCTTTGTAAGGCTTACAAATCCTGAAAAAAACACAACCCTACACCCTCCGAGCCTGCACCCCAAAGCCGTGAAGCCCGAAAGACCCAGACTCTAAACCACGAAAGCCCTCAAACTCCGAAGCTCAACACCCGAAGCCTCCAGCTGTAAGGTTTTCGGGGAACAAGACCCTAAGCCCCCAAGACCTTAAGACCTGTACTGAGTGCCTCATACTTTGCCGACGCGAACGCATGGACCTCGTTTGGCTTGCCCGAGTTGTGAGAGTGTAAGACCTGTGCGCTACGATTCCCGTTTCGCTATAACCCAACACCCAAAACCCTGGATCCAGAGGCCAAAATCCCAAAATCCCAAAAGAAACTCTAAACCCTAAACTCTCACATGAAGAGTTGAGCAGCCCTGTAGTCTGACTGTGCGCATCAAGAACCTCGTCTGGCAGTGTCCGAGTTGCGAGAGCGCAAACCCTAAACTCTAAGCTAATTCCTAGAGAGCCAGTAGCCCACGATCCCTGCGCTGCACCCAGGGAGCCCCAACATTCCTGAACAGGTTTGGGGCTTAGGATGCAGTTAGGGTTTACCCAGAGGCTGCAAAGTAGTTCCTTTTTGGGGATACCTTATAGGGTTCTAAATATGAACCCTAAAAAGGAACTACTATGGAGCCTTAGGGTAGGGCCGAGTTTGGAGTTTTAGATCCTGTAAGCCCTGAAAAGTCAGGCCGGTAAGCCCTGAACCGAGGTCCCTGCAGGGGCACAGCAGCCACAAGCCTTCATCCAAATGCCCATGGCTCATCAACAGCCTGGTGCACAGGCAGGGCTTGGTGTTTTACCTTTCAGGGTTTACGTAGGGTTTCGGGAAGGCCGTGATGCAAGGATCTGGCTAGTCCGCAAGCCGAGTTGTAGAAAGGGTTTGCAGTAGAAGCCCAAAAGTTGGAAACCTAATAGCCTCAATCCTTATAAGAGTCATGTATAGGGAATCCCAGCACTATTTGGCCTTAATCCGGTTTCCAACTTTATGGGGTTTACTATAGGAGTTTGCCGGACTCCTCCTTTGGAGTTTAGCTTTGAGCCAGAGCTTCACAGCCCGGATGCGAAAAGGGCTTAGGGTTTAGGCCTCATTGCGTTTAGGGTCTTGCGATCTAGGGTCGGGGTTGAGGGATTAGGGCTCACCGAGTTCAGGCTTTAGGATTCTAGGGCATCGTAGGGTTCAGCTTAAGGTTCACCGGGTCATCCACAGGACCAGGAAGTAATTTGTCCGTCTCATTATGGCAAAGGGGCTGTTGAAACCAGAACGATTTGTCTGGCTGCGGAACTAGAACCTGCCACCTGCGATTTCACGATCGCTTGCCGTTTGGGGTTTAGGGTTACTGGTAAGTGGCAAAAAGGGTTACTGGTATGTCAAAAGCTGGCTTGAGGAATGATTCTCACATGCGGGGGGCGGGCTCCTGCAAAGCGCTAAACCGTAGGCCTACTGTAGGCCCTAACCGTTAGTTTAGCCCCTGTCTAGTAGGAGCTTGCAGAGAGGAGGATCCTTCTCCATTCAAGCACTGGTTTGGGCAATAATGTAGGAACCTGATTAAGAAACCCTGGGCCCAAAACCACCAACATAGTAGGATTTTTATTATACGAAGCCCTAATAATACAAGCCCAAGGTTTCTTAATCGGGTTCCTACATTAACCTTTTCCTGCGGATTTTTATGAGAAGCCCTAATACAGGCCCAAGGTATCTTAATCGGGTTCCTACATTAACTTTTTCCTGCCCTGAGGATCCGCTCATAGATTTGCATGTTCAGTGCACCGGACCTAGTCGTCAAGGTCGTAGGTGGCCAAGAGTCTAAATATCCATTAATATGGGAGTTTCCGAAAATTAGGGGCAACTGATTTTAGGGTCCTTATAAAAAGGATCCTACTATTTAAGGTACTATATTGGGGTCCCCTATTTTCGGAAACTCCCACAGAGCGTGGTGTCGTAGGGTTCGGATGATGTGTTCTTTCTCCGAAGATACGGTCTCGTTCAGGAACTGCTGCATATTTCTGCTAGTTACACTCGTTTTAAAAAGCTCTAAACCCTGAACCCGTCTGCTAGAAAGCTCGCTCTTAAAACTCTAAACCCTCAACCCTACACCCTACATAAATAGACCCCAGGATCTCGGCGGTCTCGCATTTGGTAGAGCTTGAAGCTTAAAGTTCAAGAAGCTCTCCGCCAACCGTGCACCCTACGTCTACTTTGAGCTATGTGGTGTGGTTTGGGCCTAAACTCTAAATCGCACTGGAACCCTAAAGCCCTCAACGCGAAAACCAGATTAAAAGAAACACTAAAGCCAGCAACCCGCTGCAGCTCATTTTATCGGATCAGTTGCCAAAAGCAGCCGAAAGTATAGGGGCCAAAAAAGCCATGATGCAGAGACGCAGCCGACCTGGACAGCTTCGAAGTCTCGGGGCGCTCTGTGCCGCCGCCTGTGCAGCTCGGCTCGACCGGGCTCTATGTAGGGATAGGGCGTGGGGTTAGTTTAGGGTTGTTAAGGGTTTTAGGGTTTAGGGGTTTAGCCTTTAGGGTTTAGGGTGCGGCGCGGGGTTGAGGGCCACAAAGGGGGCCTTAGGTTTGGCGTTCAACAGGTCCAGGTGTATTGAAACAGGGCTTCGGGGGTGGGAGTTCAGAAGCTTGGCACCCGCGCGGTCGGTAGAAGGCGTCAAGCGAGACTGCTTCTTGACCTAAGCGCCAAACCGCGCCCTATAAACTATAAACCTTAAGCCCGAAGCCGTAAACCCTAAGCCTTAAACAAGCAACAGTAGCAGGAGCACTAGCACTAGCGCTACTTGCGAGTCTGGGTGGTAGTCGTGGTGGTGTGCCTAGTACTAGAACTAATAATTACTGCTAGAGCTGTATAGTTGCCGAGGCTGATGAGGCATAGAAAATGATTGGGTCTATACCCTTACTAAACCCCAAACGTTAAGCCCCAACCCTAAGCCTAAATCCCAAACAGCCCTAAACTCCAAACCCCAACCCTAAATCCAAGCCCCAACTCTAAAACCCAATCCCCACCCCTAAACCCCGAACCATACTGCCAACCCTAAAGCCCTAAACCTTGTAGAAAGAGGCCGTCAAAAAAGCTTAATACAGGGGCCTTAACAACTACCTATACTGTTTTGGGAGTTCCGCATTATGTTTATACATTTTTAGTATAATGGGCCCCAAAACCTGTTCTAATTATTAAGGCCCCTGTATTATCCGCTTATAATCCCTATTCAATACAAGTGGAGGATCCACCAAACCTTCAGTCTAATCATTGAAGCCCCGACCCCTACACCCTTTCCCCAAGCCGGCCCCTGTATTAGCAGAGACTGCGTCGAGGTCGTGGGCTTCCTCTCTGAGAGCTTCGTCTCCGCCCCGCGCCGCCCCGCAGCCCGGAGTGCCGCGCGGGCTGCCGCCGAGGAGCCCCGATTTCTGTTATGCAGGGGCAGGGGTGGTTTAGGGCGTTTAGGGCTTAGGGGTTGGAGTTTAAGGGTTAGGGGTTTATAAAGCTTAGAGTTTACGGGTTTAGAGTTTACCTTAGCCAACCAAAACCTAGCTACTGTTTTGTAGGGAATTGCATAATTATTAGGTTCTGGTAGCTTCAGGTAGGGTTTGGAGTTTAGGAGTCAGAGTCAGATGAGGGTTTAGGTTTTAATTCAATACTTGGAAGGGCAGGGGACTTAGTAAGTAGGTTATAAGTAGAGTTATAAGTACCCTAAATGGAGTTACCCCAATGATAACCCTACTTATTACCTACTTACTAAGTCCCCTGCCCTTCCAAGTAGGTTGTTTGAATACTATGAATTCCTTGTTGGAACTATATTTTAGTAGTTTCTAAAGCAGGCTGCAAAATCCTCTCCTAAGTGTTGAAGCCGCACTAGTAGGCTCATGCATGGGTTTTTGATGATCGTTTTCGTGATGCAGCAGTCGGCAAATCAAGACAGGCACCGTGTGCAGTGTTGGGCAGGTTTCGACAAGGCTCCTTGAGGGTACTAGTTTCTGGTAGGGCAACTAGGGTGTGTCCGTAGCCCTATCGGTGCATCGTGCGTTGGGTGGCTTGTTTCCATCGGCGAATGCCTCGGTAACAAAACGAGCTGCAGTTCCCAGCAACTCCAATATCCCTTAATATAGGGTTTAGACCGTAAACTGTAGTAGGATGCTGAATATGATTTAGGGAATATTCCTTAATTAAGGGGTGTGGAGTCTCTGGGTTCATTACCGGAAGATTCAGTAGTTTCAGCTGTTAGGGCATTTGTGATGGCTACGGATGCTTCCCAGCCACCGTCGAACACCCAAAGAGCACGCAGCACTGCGGGGGTTTAGTGTTTAGAACCCGAGGCTTGCTTCCAACCCCTAAACCCAAATATAGGGGCCGAATCAATTACCAGTACTATTTGGGGATTCCTTACTATAAGTCTAGTAATGTGGCGGTCTGTTTAATAGTGGGGTACCCCCCCCCCCCCCCCCCCCCCCCCCGACCAAAAAGAAAAATTCTGTTTAATATGGAACCGGTAGCCCCGGACAGGGGTCAGGGGTCGGTCTGAGTGGCAGGGAATTGGGAGGTGCCGGGGTTTGGGGGCTGGCTTGGGTGCAGGGTCTGCGGTTCTGCGCGACTGCGCGGTCGGGGGTCGGGGAGGTCTGGGCCAGCGCCTGAAACCCTAAACCCTGAACCCTAAACCCTAACGAATCCTAAACTCCTAGACCCTATAACAAACCCTAAACCCTAAGCCCTAAACCCTTCCAAAGGGGGGTCGGTCCAGATTCGACCCAAAACTTAATTTTTTATACAAACTTTAGTACTGGAGAGGCCTCTTTTGAGCTAGGGTCCAATCCCCGATTCGGCGGTTCACCCTAGCAGCCCCCCCCCCCAATAATCAAGGTATAGTAGACAGTAGTAGTACAGTAGTAGTACAGTACAGTAGTAGTATAACAATAGTGCAGTAGTACAATAGTAATACAACAGTAGTACAGTGGTAGTACAATAGTAGTACAGTAGTAGTACAATAATAGTACAGTAGTACAATAGTAGCACAATAGTAGTACAGTAGTAGTACAGTAGTAGTACGATTATAGTACCGTAGTACAATAATAGTACAAGTAGTAGTACAGTAGTAGTATAATAATAGTGCAGTAGTACAATAGTAATACAACAGTAGTACAGTGGTAGTACAATAGTAGTACAGTAGTAGTACGATAACAGTACAGTAGTACAATAGTAGTACAGTAATCGTACAGTAGTAGTACAATAGTAGTACAGTAGTACACTAGTAGTACAGTAGTAGTACCACAGCAGTACAGTAGTACAGTAGTAATACAGTAATAGTACAGAAATAGTACCAATAAGCAAAGCATAAAGCCAGTGAGTACATTCCCCCAATAAGCAAAGCATAAAGCCAGCGCCTGAAACCCTAAACCCCGAACCCTAAACCCTAAAGAATCCTACACTCCTAAACCCTATAACAAACCCTGAACCCTAAGCCCTAAACCCTTCCAAAGGGGGGTCGGTCCAGATTCGACCCAAAACTTAATTTTTTATACAAACTTTAGTACTGGAGAGGCCTCTTTTGAGCTAGGGTCCAATCCCCGATTCGGCGGTTCACCCTAGCAGCCCCCCCCAATAATCAAGGTATAGTAGAATAGTAGTACAGTAGTAGTACAGTAGTAGTACAGATTTTCATTCCTGACGCCCCAATAAGCGAAACAATTCTGCAAGAGATTTTCGGGCTTCAGGGCCAGGGTTTTAGGGTTGGGTGGGGGTTTGGTGGGGGTTTAGGTCGTGGCTGCCTTAAGATTGACCATCAGCAAATAGCACAGCCCCGCCACCAAAAAATCACCCCAGCCAAAAAAAAACGCATTAATTAGAACACCCCAATTTTTTTGTCAGATTCGGAATTAGCCCCGGAGCCGACGCATTAAAGGAGCCTATATTCCTAAACCGACCCCCACATTATAATATACCCCAAAACCCTACTCAATATTCTCATTATGAAGGCTTGGACCCTTCATTGGTGCTTCCTTGCAACACCTTCTCAACTCGAAGCTGCACAACGAAGGAGCCGGTTGAGGCACCCGCGTCACCGAACACGCAGATGCTTGGATGCACTGTAGGGGCCTTAATGATTACTATACTATTTTGCGAGTTCCTGAATATATATATATATATATATATATACTTATAGTATAACGGGCCCCGAAATGCCAATCTAAGGCCCCTGTACTAAATCGCTACAGGAGTTTTGCGTATGATTTCAACTACTAGGACTGCTCCGGATGTGAGGTTTCATCGTTTCGGCATTGAGAGTCGGATGTTGGAGCGCTTCAATGAACTGTTGAGAAACTCCGCAACGCGATACGCCTTCAACCCTCAAACCCTATAGGGGATAAATCCACAACCCGAAACCCCAGTGGCTTGCAAGAAGCTTAGCTAAACGCCGAGGGAGAGTTAGCTTTCTGGATCCTGCGAGACGGAAACGGGTCGTTCAACAAAACAACACTGGCTGATGTTTACCGTGTCAATCCAAGCCAGATCTCGCAAGCCTCAGGCCTCCAGCAAAGCGCAGTTTTGCTCCGACAGGGGGCAAGTGTTGAAGCGATTGCCGGCATGGTACCAACAAGGGAGGGTTCAAGATCATTACAAGCCCTTTGGCCTTCAGGGTTATGGATGTGAGTATGTTTTCACATCGTTGATGCATAATGTGTGCATGGTCGTATATCTAATATGTGTATACATGCATACATACATACAGACAGACGTACATACATGTTCATAGTTAAGCATACACATGCGCATGCACGGACACATAAGCACACACACACACACATACATCCACCTACATACACAAAGACTTACACATACATCCATGGATACGGGCATGCATGATTACATACATACTTGCGGACATACATATATGCGTGCACAGTTGCCGCGATTCTTGGCCTCTTACTCGGGCCCTCCATATCGTCATGCCTCGCGAAGCCAGGCCTGCAGCAACAGAGATCCGAAACCCAATCTAAAGCCTAAGCTAGCTAAGCAATTTAAGCAGGCCCGAATTTCTGAATTTGTTTATATAAACCAGCCTAGACTGCCTCGTGGGGCCTAGGAAGGCAGAAAGGAGGCGAAGCGTCGAGGATTACCAGGGTGGTTTGAATTCAGCTGGCTCGAAACTCCTTGGAGGGGGTTCAGGGTATACTGTTTAGGTTTAGGGCTCGTTGTTCTTGTCCTTTCACACGGAAGACCTCGACGATTTTAGTACGGTGCTTGCTTCTCAAGTAGCTTGCTTTGAGGTGTCAACTCGCATGCTCTCCTTGCTCTACGTTAGGGGAGGGTATGTTTGGCTAGACCGGATTAGACCGGGCTTTGTAGAATAGGAATCAAAGCCCGGAAACGGCATATGCTTTCGGGATTACATTTGAGTTGCTAGGAGCCATCTTAGGCTTACCCTAAACCCTGCACCTTAAACCCTGAAACCCGAAACCCTGAACACTGATACATAAACCCTAAAACTTGAACCTTAAACCCTCAACCCTAACTAAACCCTGAACCCTAAGACCTGAACCTTAACCCCTAAACCCGAAAACTTGAATCTTAAACCCTAAACCCTGAACCTTAAACCCTAAAACCTGAATCTTAAATCCTAAGCCTAAACCCTGAACCACTTTAAACTCCACGCCAAGCCAAGGACTGCGACGCCCGAGGCCGCGCCTCAGCCGGGCGCGGTCCGGCCGGGGGCTTCTGTGGCAGGCTTTCAGGAGGCAGCGGAAGCATCAATTTAGGGTTTACTTGGAAGGGCAGGGGACTTAGTAAGTAGGTTATAAGTAGGGTTTTAATTGGGGTAACTCCATTCAGGGTACTTATAACTCTACTTATGACCTACTTACTAAGTCCCCTGCCCTTCCAAGTAGGGTTTAGGGCCCAGAAACTCCAAAATTCCTTAATTAGGGAATATCTCCAAGATCGAGTGAAGAACATACCTAAGGGCTCCTTGAAGGGATCTACAAGGGATCTACAGGGTTTAGGGTCTAGGGACTCCAATCTCCTCTAGTTAAGGGATATATCTTGCACTCTAGCAGGATCCCTCATATGATTTGGGGAATATATATATATATATATATACATACATACACATAAATTCATTCCTTCATTAAAAGATTTTGGAGTCATGGGCACTGAACTCCCCACAAAACCCTGAACCCTACTATATACATCCTGAGTTTCATCTTCAGACCCTAAACCATTTAGCCGCGAGGCCCTACTTGGAAGGGCAGGGGACTTAGTAAGTAGGTTGCAAGTAGGGTTAAAATTGGGGTAACTCCATTTAGGGTACTTAAAACTCTACTTATAACCTACTTACTAAGTCCCCTGCCCTTCCAAGTGCAACCTCTGAATCCTCACCCACAAAGCCCTGAACCCTTTTAATTCCTGAAATGGAAACCCCGGGAACGTCCCAGAGAAGCTTCTGAGAGCCCTCAGGTGAAGTCGGGCGAGGGCTTCAAGAAGGCAAGGCAGTTTCTAGCACTCGAGCCTTTGGATGACGAGGTGGGAGTTTCCAAATTTTGGGGGTACGTTGTTTTGTGGTCCTTATAATAAGGATCCTACTATCTAGGGTACATACTATAGTTTAGAGGGTGGCCTATTTTCGGAAGCTCCCAGGTGAACCAGTGGGAAGCAGACATGAAGTCCACAAGGGGGCTGACTGCCGACGAGGAGAGGAAAAAGTGGGTGGCCATCATCTCCGGCGCAGTGACGTTTCTCTTGGGTGGCGCCTATGTCCTGCTGAATGTGGCCATGGACAGCACAGACTGGTCAGGCTTCGCGGGGGAAAGAACACTGTCAGCAAACGATCTTGCCATGCTGGGAAAGTGAGCCCGTCGCCGGGACGTCACTACAGCCACGTCGATGTACCCACCCAGCAGTGAGCTTGGCAGTGTGATGCAGGTCTGCTGAACCCAAGAAGGGAAATGACAGTAGGTCGCCTTTGAACCCTTGCACGCATCCCAAGACAGTTTTCAGGTAATCTGAGCGAAGCGAACAGATGCCACCCATTTTCACGGTTCCACTATGGTCGAGAAGGGACGTTGGACGATTATACGGCGATGCAAAACTGTGCGCAAAAGATGCTGTGCTTGCACACTTGCTTGATGTTATTCGGGTTTGGTGCAAAGGGGTTTGCGTCTATAGTCTCTAGTGTTTAACCACGTGACACTTTAGGCATCATTGCCAATGATTGCATGTTTTACGGGGACAGGTTCGGGAGTAACGGATTGTGGCTTTGGGTTCGAAGTTAAGGGGTTGCACACTCGATGTTAACTGGATGTTAATCTGCCGATAATTCTGATGCGGCAGTGAGGCTCCTAATACAGGGGTCACAAGATTTTTAGTCCTACAGCATCAGAGTAATAACTTAGCAATACTGTAGTACAGTGACAGCATAACATCGCACCCCGCAGTCCTATTCTAGACGTCGAGGCCCCCATATTAGGATTACGTTTTCTGTTGCATTCTCTGTGGCGCGGCAAGCTTGAAGAAGCCTAACTCTGAACCTACATTTGGGACCCGGAAAGACAGTATGGCCAGGGAGGAACCCAGTAGTGGCGTATGGAAATGCTATTTGTGGTTCTTCCGACAACCATAATTCGGCTAAAGTACCTATATAGGGACCCCTTTAAGGCCAAAGTACCTACTCTAAAAGTACATGGAGCCTTTGGGTAAGCAGGCTGAGTGCAAAGGCTTTGCGGAATGGAGCCCATACTTGGAAGGGCAGGGGACTTAGTAAGTAGGTTATAAGTAGGGTTGTAATTGGGGTATCTCCATTTAGGGTACTTGTAACTCTACTTATAACCTACTGGCTAAGTCCCCTGCCCTTCCAAATACAGCAACAGGAGCCCTGTTCCACTAGCATCGTACCCCCAAATGGGAACTCTATTACACAGCCCTACCACCCTCATAGGGCTTGGGCCTGGGATTGCATTTTTCTCTGCTCCAAGGGTAAAAGGAGGGACCCTTAATAAGGACCCCTAGATATATACCCTCAATATAGCTATTATATACCCATTATATAGCCCGTTATGGGGTAGGGGTCCCCATTAAGGGTCCCTCCTTTTCCCCTTTGATTTGCGACAAGGGGCGTAAACGGTGAGAGACTGGAACTTTCGGAGTGCACGCCTCGTTTTTCAAGCAGGTAGGCTAAAGCCCTCAATTAGGGTTGACGGGTCACCTTATAGATCCCTTATAGTAACCCTTACAGACCCTTTTAAAGGAACCGCATGCTAATTATTAAGGACCCTATATTATAGTACCCTACTATAGATCCCTTTTGTAAAGTCCTCAACCCGTAGGGTTAAGGGGTTTACTAAAACGGCTTAGTAGACCTCAAGCCTCCGGAACCTCTTCTCCGTCGACGCTAAACCCGAAAGCTTACTTTAGGGGTGTTAATAACTACCAATGCTAGTTTGGGGGGTCCTTATATTATAACTACCCCAAGGCTCCATAGTAGTTCTTTTTTTGGGTTCATATTTAGAATCCTACAAGGTATCCCCAAAAAGGAACTACTTTGGAGCCCCTCTGGGTATACTATAGTGGGCCCCAAAACCCTATTCCAATTATTGAGGACCCTAAAGAAGTGCCCATGGAGGTGGTTTTCATGGCGCCGCCGCAGGCCGCGCAGCCAGCTCCCGAACAGCCGAAGGGCGGCTGGGCTCCGCTTAGGGTTTTAGGGTTTCAGGATTTAGGATTTCGGGTTTAGGGTTTTAGGATTTAGGGGCTTCGGGTTGAGGGTTCAGGATTTAGGGTTAAGGGTTGAGGGTTTTCGGAGAGAGAGAGAGAGAGAGAGAGAGAGAGAGAAAAAACAAAAACAAGAATGAGCTTCTGTTGGGACACATAGATGCACAAATCAATTTGCTGTGCGAAAGAGCAGACAGAGGAGAGAGGGAGGGCGTAGGGAGATGGAGAGGGACAGAGTGTTCAGAATGACACACCTGACGGACGGACGGACAGAGTGAAACGGATGGAGAAGGAAACGACACACATGGGGGGGCCCAGGGTCAGAGGCTGTTACCTCAAGCCCTCGAGCATAAATGCTCTTCTTATACGGGAGCCCTGTAACTCAGCTGCACGACGGGCAGGTAACCTGAGCGGACATATTTCAATCAATGTCTCAGAAAGGCAACCTTTTTATTCGAGCTAGGGTACTCAGTGCTAAGTCTTGCTTGGCTTTCCGAGCTCTCCAAATCGAAATCATTGCAAACTTAACTTTGGCGCCTGCGTCTGCAGCCTCAAACCCTTAACCCCTAAACCGTCTGTCTGTCGTCGTTGCTACTCGAGACAACCTGGCCTGTGGACTTTGTCTCCAGCCATGCGAGAGGGAAAGACCGTTTCTCTGAAATCTGTCCAACCCTGCACGCTGAATCTTCAATCGAGAGAACTCTGAGCCTGAAACGTCTGAAGCCTAAAGCAGGGGGTCGGAACAATTAGCGCCAGTGGCTCCTTATTTGTACTTTGATTCGAGTGGTGATGGCAAATACATTACCCTAAGTTATCAAAGCCGTATACTAAAAAAAAAGAGTCCATGCAGCCCCCCAAAAGCATTCACAGCTCAGGTCAGACCGAAGCAGAGGGTGTGCCTGCCGGGTGTTCGGGTTTAGGATTTTGTAGTTTGAGGTTTAGGGTTCGGGGGTTACCGGTTTTGGGGGTGTGGGTTCAGGGCCTGGATGCAAAGAAGGGGTTTAGGTTTCCGATTATTCGTTTTTCAAAGGTGAAAGGGAGGGACCCTTAATCCGGACCCCTACCCTATAATGGGGCTATATAATGGGTATATAATGGCCATATTAAGGGTATATACCTAGGGGTCCTTATTAAGGGTCCCTCCTTTTACCCTTGGATTCAAGGGTGCAGTGCCAGGGCCGAGGCTTCAAAGTGAAAGGGGTTACGTTAGGCCTTCTACTTGGAAGGGCAGGGGACTTAGTAAGTAGGTTATAATAGTAGAGTTATAGGTACCCTAAATGGAGTTACCGCAATTATAACTCTACTTTTAACCTACTTACTAAGTCCCCTGCCCTTCCAAGTAAGGTTTTGCGGTACGGGGGGCCGGCCCAGGATTGTAGGACTAAGCCAAAGGGTCCAAGTAGCATTATGGTATATACTTATAGGGTATTTTGGGGTTCTAATAAGTATTTACCATAATGATGCTTGGACCCTTTGGGTAAGGGAGTAAGTAGGTTTGCGAGTGTGCATTTGTAAAGACAGATTTTCAGTTCAGCTTCTACCTTGCGGATCGGAGGAAGTAGCAGGTGGCTGAGCGACCAACGTTTAATTCTTAGAGTTTAAGTCAGAGTTTTCTCGACGGCTGCTCTATGTCTGCATGCATATCAACAAGTCTATATGTCTGTAGCTATATCTGTACGTCCTCATCGTCGGTATCTATTTTTCATGTTAATGTCCGACGTAGCCTGACTCTTCGCCCTAATCCCCAGGCCCTAAATTCGAAGTATTGCCTTGACCTTCTCATTTCATCGGCTTTCATTGGTGTAATGTTATCATCTCAGAGGGCCCTGTAGTTAACTTACACTGACACTGCATATACCGCAACGCCCTTTTCTGATCATTAAGGGCCCACCTTTACGGCCTGGGTAGGTATCATTGAACATTATACAACTGTACCATCCCAGCCGAAGCAATGGTGAAAACTGTTAAACCTGTTTTGGGCTTGGGTACTCACCCCAGGGTCTCCATTCAGTCACCCCGGCCTCCTCCAACATAGGTTAACATTGAGGCCCTTGAAGACAGGGCTTTGGGTTTAGGGTGTTTTTGGGCTAGTGAGGGCTCGAGATTGAAATAAGGGGCTCGTGGGACTTGCTGGAAGGAAGCAGGGTCTCCCCACCCAAAAGGATTTAGATTATTACTATTACTATTATATTATTACTACTATTACTATTACTATTACTACTATTACTATTACTACTGTTATTACTATTATAAGATTTTTGCTACCTTATGGCTTAGGACCTGGGCCCTCACGGTGTTTCTGGGAGCTACCTGGAAGCGTAGAGGTCTTTCGCTAGTGCGAGGGTTTAGCCGCTTGACCACAACAATATTGGTGACTATCCTCGTATTCTTAACAACTCATGCGGATTGTATTGAAGAAAATACCCTAAGGCTCCATAGTAGTTCCTTTTTTGGGTTCATATTTAGAATCCTATAAGGTATCCCCAAAAAGGAGCTACTTTGGAGCCTCTGGATAGTCTGATTCTGTACTACTTGTCTGCAGCCTGCAGGTGTCCGGAAACCAATGGGGTTCAGAAGACTTCGGGCTGTGACATGTTATAAGAGGCAAGTCCATTTACCTTTGCACCGTTCTGCAACCATAATGGGATAAATCATTCAATGCGATTTCGGGCCTTCCTTATCGTAGGTTTGGTACAATATAACCCAGCCCTATTGATAACTTCCAGGACCCCTATATTAAAGCCGTAGACCCACACCCAAAGCCCTAGAAGGGTCTGGGCGGAGGCTCGGTTCCCAATAACTCCCTGTGCTCAGCAGCTGCACACTGCAGATCCCGAAATGAAGGTTAGGGTTTAAGGTTCAGGCCTTAATCAAGTCCAGACGTAAAAAAACAAGGGTTTAAGGCCTGGACTTGGAGAGTAGGTGAGAGTGCAGAAGGATAGCCGCCCTTGCCGCAGTTGCACAGGCTCAGTGTATGCATTCAGGCGTTCGTACATGCTCATAGAAGACATGCCAACGTCTCCGCTGCACAAATCACACACACTAGGATCTCCAACAGTACCCTTATTCCCTTTTTGTAGTCCTAGGTTCCTTATAAAGTAACCCAATACCAAAAAGAGAGGCCTTTTTATTCTTAGGTTACT